ATGGTGTAGGCTCTCGTAATCATAACGATGAGCTACACCTGTGTGAAGATGCTCGTCTCTTTCTCGCGAGCACTAACTTCCGACACAGCACTTGCAGAAGAGTGACTTTGGCGCAAATCCATCAAATCGCGATTAGCTACCGCTGGAGAGGCTGTGTCAACAACTGTCGCTCGATTTGGAGCACTAGCGTGGACTCCGATCACGCTGTCGTGTTTGCCGACCTACGGGTGTGTTTCGGTGTACGTCCGCAACGTCGCTCTGAGCGCATTGATACCAGCCAGCTGGCAAAGCCAGGTGTCCTGTGTATCAAAGTGCGCTGACATCCGGGCTGAGTAAGCGCCCACTGAACACCGTCGAAGATCACTGGTCGCATGTTCGTCAAACGATACTATCAGCAGGCATGTCTTCATGTGGCAAATCAAATTGCCGAACTGGATATTGGGTCTCTACCAAGTCTCTGAACGTATTCCGGCTGGAGGCGAATACAATGAGACTCGCGGAAATTTCAGGACAAAACTGCGTGCTAGCCTGAAGAAAGACCACAAAGGCTGGTGGTCTCATCGTGTATCGGAAATGGAAACAGCCGCTGCCGTTAATAATCATCGTAAGTTATTCCGTCTGATACGGGAAACAGCCAGCAGGAGACCTGGTGTTAGCTAGACAATACACGACGAGATTGGACAGCCGATCCACAGCTTGTCAAAACGCTTGGAGTTTTTGACTGAACACTTTGCAAGGCAGTTTAATCAATCTGAGTTATCGCTTTCTCTTTCGGGCATTGAGTACCCTTCTCCATGGGCCGTCTCCTTAGGTCCGCCCTCGCGCCACCTGTGGCGCAGACGCGACATCACTCTCCATGAAGGGTCGAGTGTATAATGCAGCCGTCCGTTTTGAAACCTGGCCCATCAAGTCGACAGACATAAAGGGGCTGGTCACGTCGCTCATCGCTGCCTTCGCAGCTTAGCTCCTGTCTGGTGGGAGCATCGCGTGGGCGATGATCGTGTTCTGCGTCGCGTACTTGGTGCAAGAAGAGCGAGTGAACCGCTCTGAGGTGTTTCCCACCTCTAGCTAACGTGTATGATGATGATGATGATGAGTGAACCGCTCAGCGCAAGTATATCACGCACCAGGCTCCGATGGCTCGGCCACGTGTTGCCCACGCCAGCACACCGACTCCCGCGACGTGGGTTGTTTGCGCGCCGGGGGTGTGGTTGAAAGAGGAGGCCAAGCGATGACTCGGTCGAGAGAAATAAAAACCCTTACTTCGAATTTGGCGTCGGTTGGTGCATCCCGACTGCCTGGCTGGGGTTCTAAGGACGATGAACACGTTTGGTTGGACACACTTGCTGATATGGCTAAGAGCTGGCCCCAATGGCGTTTGTGTTGTGCGTTCCTTTGTCCATCCTCTCCCGTTTAGTCTCCCCCTCCAATCACGATCTCATTCGTTAAGCGTAATATAACTCTTTTTGCGGCACGATAGCCGACTGTTAGCTCTCCGGAACGATGTCCATCCCTTACTTGGGACTCAGCCGGCGTGTCTCTTGTTTTTTTCTTGTCTTTTGTATTGCGGCTCAATAGCTTAAGTGTTTTCCACCTGCAGCTAACGTGTATAATGATGATGATGGTATTCTGCCAGTTGTTCGTTGGCGGGAGTTAAGACAATACTTACAACCTAGCTGAGCTTCTGAAGAGCTCCGACGGCCTACCTGCGCATTCATATACCCTCCAGAAATGACAATATCTGAGCAGGTAACACGGTGAAGCAGTGTGTTCAGTTCGAAGAAGAATGTGTCCTTGGCAGCGTCAGAACTGCAATCGGTGGGAATATAAGCGGAAACCACAAACAAAGAGCGTCTAGCATTAATTCGTGAATCAACTAAAGTTGATGTCGTCAAACGGGCTGCACACAAACGTCTGTTCACGGGAATCCAATCAACGAACGGTGACTTAGCGTTGAAGTTGAGAACGATGCCCACTCCTAGCTTCACTAATGATTGCCACATCAGCGTCTCTGGATGCGTGTAACCAATAGTAAAGAACAAACCGGGCGCAGTTAATTCAACGGCCTCGTGAGGGTCATTGATCTGTTTCGGACATACAACACGTCAATACTAAGGGTATCCAACGTACGTGCGAATGTGGCCTGTTGACTTATTTGTCCCAGAGTGCGAAGGTTAAACTTCCAGGGAAACGGGACAGTGTGTACTTATGATGAGCTGTTGCCGATGTGCGTCCAGTGAGTGGTGCGGGAAGGTAGCATCGGGTGGTAAAACTGCAGTTGCTGTTAATTAAGCTGGGAATTATAAAAGGAAGGTTAGTAATGTGGGTCGGGAGGGGAGTATGAGAAACAAGTAGCAAAGAAAGGAGGCGCCAGCACTAGCATGCTTTGGCTTATCCGGTTATGCAGCAGATAACTCCACTCTTGGTAATCTGCGCGAGGGCCGATGCAGGATATGGTTAAAGTTTAAGGAAATAGTCATGGTTGTACGTAGGCTGAGATACTGTTTGAGCGCCCAAACCTAGACAGGAGATTAGGGTCCTCGACCAAAGCTTTTGGCTCAGAAATCCGTCTGCAAAGCAGCGATGATTTAGTTTTACAGAAAAGGATGACATCTCATTTCAAACTCCTAGCGTGGAGGACCAGGAGACCGAGATTTTCTGATCTCTGACCACTGACCAGCGTGGTATCAGTAGCTCTCAAGGAGCCCGGGGCCACCACTCAATAGGTCGACGGGGTACGCAAACCGTCGCACCGTTAAGATCTAGACTCGTAGCGACGGAAAGGTATCAGCAGTACGCAGTACCGACGCTATGCTGCCGCGCGTGAGCTGAAGATGTTGCGAGGGTCGCGCGGTCCCCTACACAGGCTCGAACCCGTGACCTCAGGATCATATGGCAGATTTGTGATCCTTAAGACCACGGGCTAGCCAATTCACATAACTTGGCCCCTGCATTAGCTGCGATATCCGTGGAACCAAAGGAGGACTCCATTCAATCTGAAAGGATGAGTGTATGGAGCCATGGTGAGAGCTGTCCTGTTCTATGGGAATGGAGCTTTCTTCTTCGGTCTGAGAATATGAGGGATATTCATATTCCTGATCATTATTGCCTGTAGAAAACAGTTAGTGTGGAATGGTGCCAGCGTGTCCGCATCCTAGAGCTAAGGAGTGACGACCAGGTTATTTCTTTGGTGACATAGATAACATTAAATCATTTCCATTGATTGGGGTGTACTACTTATGTCTGCCAAATTATGAATGACTGCCTAGCTTTGTTTACCGGATATAGGTGACATAAGACTCCAAGTGGGCACAGGTTGACTTATTAGTGGGAAGCGAAATAGCAGACTTGGTGACGTTGGTACACCTGGCATGCTAGACTGGAGCCTACTCAATTCGCCTTACACTTGGCTCGAGACATGGCTCGCACCCGAGTTTGCCGTCGTCTCCGATTGGATTAGCTGTTTAAAGTGTGACAGTTATATGTGGAGTAAGTTTGAATATAATGCAAGCAATAAAAGTTGCCATGGATGCACCTCGTTGATGTCAAGTTATCTCCACGCGAGAATCAGCTGTTTGCAGTCGTGTGTTGACAGCGCGTAGGCGCCTTGGCCCTGAATGCCTGCCGGACCGTTTATATTGTACACTGGGTCCCATCGCGGTTGTATCAGTCCGAATTACTGATGCGATGCCTTTGATATTGATGGTAACGAGGAAAAGGCATCGCCAATACACCGGCACACTGTACCGACGCTTCGCTGCCACGCGACCATCACCAGTTGCGCGAGGGCTGGGTGTACTGGGCCTATGCGGATTTGAACCGGCGACGCCGGGATTCCAACTCAAATGTGCAATCCTTTCGGCCACCGATGGAGTATTTACAGTACTATGACTAGTTCGTTACATCTAGTTGGCCTAGTCCATGGCGTGCACGGGGAGCCAGCGAAAAACGAAGTCATTTTCGACTGAAATTGCATAGAGATGAGGTAACATGGAATGATTAGGCAAACGATCCCATCATGCAGCAAAATAACTGATTATCGCCTCCAAGTGGTGTTGCGGCTGTCTGAAGAAGCTTTTGGATCAAAAGCGAAAGACTGTACATTGTAACAAATATATTAACCGATTCTCGGCCAGGTGTTCTGGAATGAAAGAGGTCCGTGATGTTTAGGGTCCACAGATTCTACAGTTGCGCTAGTAGCCAGACTGTGCGTATACTTGCATCGTCTACAGGACCTCAATGGCGTTACGCAACACAACACTGCAGAGCCGATATCCTGGTTTATATTTTTGATCTGGATGACAGCGCCGAACTGCATAACGTCGGTTCCTACCTGGATCAAATTGCATTTTTTGCTATTTGTATCCCTTGCTCTACTGACTTCACTGGTTAGATCGCCTTCGATGCACCTGTTTCACTGATGCTATCTGACGATCCGGCGACAGCATGACAAAAATGGAAAAATAGGCCAGGTTTGTCTGGCTGATGCATGTTATCCTCGGGACTGAAAGCCAAGCGATATACGGTGAAAATTCGGTACGGTAAAAATTCTAACCAATGTCCCTTCCACCCCACAATTATGAGTGATTTTCTTCTGACCCTCTATCAGATTTGTCATCCACTTATCTGCTAACAGTTTCTACCAGTCTATCACCTTATTCCACTTGTGTTACCGTGATGACGCGTCAAGATAGTCGAATCGTCGCAATTCAGTGCTAGGATATGACTGAACATTTTCGAGTGTTTTACAACTAGTGTATCTCAGTAAATTTGAGGTTAAGCCTCAGCATGTTAGATCTCTCATGAGTTCGCACCGCCAATCTTTTGCCACGCAGATTTCTGAACAATTGTGAGCCAATCAACCACCTCCGAGAGACATCTCATTCCACAGAGCATTCAGTTTCGTAAACTGCATACTCAGTCGTGCAAGGTTTCGGTCTTTCTCTCAATCGTTTTCCACCCACGAGATTATTTCGCATATTCTTTTCAGGTACTGCTCGATGTGGCGGCCACTTGATACTACACTTCAGCTCAGTGTGAAGTTTCGAAACATCAGCACATCAAATACACCTTTGTACTTTCGACAAAAAGTTGCTTACAAAACGCGGTATCACTGGATGTTAGATCTACAAAAAAGCCGGCAGCGAGCTAGGTTCCCGTGGATTCCAAGGTAAGCGCGTTGTATCATATGATATTCGTTTGAGTACAGGGAGCCCACTACCTACGTAGATATTGATGGACAGAAAGTAGAATTTCCCGAAATGAGACTTGAGTTTATCGTGCCCAAAGACCTAGACAGTTGCGATTTGAAGCCTTACGTGGACTGGCGAGCGGACACTCCCATCGAAGAGGCTTTGACGGCTGAAAGGCTATTTGAAAAGAAATATATTCCAACATTGCAAAAGATGGTGGGAAAAGGAATGGAAAAAAGCGAAATAATTAAAAAGATAATGTCATAGTCTTCGTTTGTTGTACAATGAAAAAGTGTTGATGTATCGTATGTATTCAGAAGAGGCTTCTTTCATGTAGATCCATTTGAACTTTAGCCGATTTGTAATCCGCTCGCAATTGAATGAAGTTATGCAATATTTCAGAGGGTATACCTGACTGTAAATAATCTTGGATCACTTGTTTCACGTTCTCCGGCTTGATCAGCATGAGATTGACCAGTTTTAGAAGAATATCAAAGAGACAGTTCACTGCTGGATTTTCAAACTGTTTAGCGACTTCTCGGTAGGCGGTGACCTCTTGCATCGCGATGAATCCACCTGTGCAAAAATTGCAAAACACTTTTACAGTTCTTCCCCTGATCGCATTTACATAGATCACTTTTGTGAACCACGCATTTAGATCGAACATCTCAAGACCCCTTATGTGAGTGAGTATGGATATCCGAGAAGTGGGGTAGTGTTTTTGGCACTATTTTACGAGCCAGTTCGTTAAGTTATTCGTGTTCTATAGCAAAAACAGTACGCCGGTACGCAGTATCGACGCTTGGTTACTGCGAAATCATTATTCGCGCGTAGGATGTGAATACTGCTAGGGTCGCCCAGTCCCCTACGCAAACTCGAAACCGCGACCTCAGGATTACAAGGCAGACTTGTGATTCTTAAAACCACGGGTTGATCTATATGAAGGGCGCAATTCAACGAATTTGGAACGTAGCTCGAAATCGTACGACGGCTTGCATATCTCCGCGACCTGCCCATATTGGATCACTCAGTGGTCACAAGCCAGACAATGAGAGGCTTAAATTATGTACCTTGAATTCACCGCAACCGTACGACTGTCTTATCTCTTCAGGGCAGATAGAACGCGCACTACTGAGGATTCGAAAAATAGTGAAGCAGCCGTTCAGTGCTATTCCAGGTGGGGGACATCCGCAGTGCACTGCCGCGCGACCACTACCGGTCTGGTGCGGGCTAGGAATTGTGCGAGGTCGACTGCACCTATGCAGGTTCGAACCGGTGACCTTCGGGTTACAATACAAGCGCTTTACCGTCCAATTGAATGAGGTTGTGATGAATCTAACGTTAACCATTCAGATCCATCTTTTGATCCGTACGCAGCCTAAATAGCAGGCTATAATGCTTTAAGGTCGGGGAATGTGGCTATCCTGTAATTTACACCGCAGTAACGAGCAAGTTGATGGAGTGATGTGTGCTACATGACATCTACTGACCTAATCATGTCGGTTGTTGCCGCACGCCATGGACTCCAGCCTCAGAAGAAACAGAAGGCGCATACTGATGGTTCCTGAAAGAGGGAAACAACCGCCCAGTATTTTCTCAGAGGTGTGATCGTTTGGCTAGGTCATGTCATGGCCAATCCAATCTCCTTGTCCACAAACCTTAAATCTTGGAAATTCGATAGCCGATTCCTGCGAAGTTCACTAAGTAGGCATCATATTTTAGAGCTTGCAAGTCTAGTTCCATTTACCTCGAGGCAGGCTGTCTCAGGCTACTCAGTTAGGTACATTAGACCTCAGTGGTCCCAGCGCACTGGAACGCGGTGAACTCGGTTACCCTAACTAGCATGGTCATAATAATTGGCAATAATGGGGAGATGAGACAGTATTTAAACAAAATGGTAAGAGGGGGCTGGGCGAGAGGTGTGGTCTCTAGAACCGGAAAGTCCAGGAGCCAGATGTAGAGACAGCCTTCAACCGCCGAGGTGGCCGATTCCGGGCCCCATCCAGGGAGTCAACACGCACAAGCCAGACCAGATATCCCCGAAAATTCCTTTGTACCACTCGTTGTCTCACCTAGATAGTTGTACCAACGGAATCGAGTGCACACCAGAGTAGATGGATCAACGAGCACACGAACATGAGGGTTTGTTGTCAAAACTTTGTGGACAGCAATACTGCTAACTCGGTGTCCTCATCAGGTGTGGAAAGTACGCCGTAGGCGCCAATGATCAAAGACTACAGGATTCCCGGTGTCTTCGGTGCGAAGTGCTCATGTTTATAGCCCGTACGGTGACAGTGGCAGCGTCGTATATCTTACTTCTGATTCATCTCATGGGAAGCATATCACACTCCAACCGCAGACAGTTCTTATCATATTTCATTCATCTTCTTGACTATGTAGAGCAGTGATTGTCTTCCCAGACTGTTGACGTGGAGAGTTGAGTTTCAGAACTACATCCACATCAGTCGGTCTTGGCTTGCGTATATGGCTATATCCTACTCTCCGGATGCGTTATCTGGTTTTTCTCTCCTAGTACAGGGTTGGTATGAACACACAAGTTGATGTGCATGGGAGAATCTTTAGTGCGAAAAATGAGTGATTTACCTGTATCGGAATAAGTAAATCCATAAAGGTGGTCCACCAATGCACGGTTAACTCGCATGCCGAATTCTGACAGAAAGTTTTTCAAATTGCCTCCATCCAGTTGCTGTTTGGCCTCGCGTATCACTTTGGTCAAAAATGCGATCACTTTTTGACATGCCTTTAAAGCAGTGAGACAAAATAAAAAAAACTGAGCAGTCATGGGTATCATATGGAGTGGACCACATGGCCAGCTGCACCGTCATTTTATCATCTTTACTGACAATAAATATATTAGCTGTCCGCATTAAAAAATGTGCCGCTACTTTGCGACTGTCGATCTCTTAATATTCTACCTACAGCACGCTCCAATAACGTGTTCGAATATCTTAGGCACGGATGCACTGAAATCGCTAATCAGTGTGGTCATTTTCGTACCGGGCAAAGGTGATACCACCGGTATGGCCATTGGAGTCTTCCGCCGATGCATCGACGTTGTGACAGCGAGACAGTAATCGAATCGTGGGTAGTGGAGTTGATGACGAATTGCTGCGTTTTTACAGAGGAACGAGATTTGTTGATTGACGGAGCAAGTTAAAATATCCCACAATTCTGTCGATTTTTTTATAGATTGTTAACGGTTTGTTTTCGACACAAAGACTTCGTCAGGCCATAACTTTTCTAACGATTCCAAGAGTTCGAAACAGAGTGTTCTATTCTTACGTGTGTTAACCCAAACATGAAAACAAGCCATTCCGCCACAACGAAACTGAACCTTAAGGTGGCGTGACGGTTTGCGTACCTCGTTGACACATTGAGCTATACTGAGTGGTGACCCCTGGCCTCTTACCAAGTTGATCATTGGTTAGATGACAGACAAACTCAGTCTCCTGGTCCTCCAGGTTGGGAATTTGAAATGCGATGGCGTCCAATTCTGTAAAACTCAACTATTGTCACCCCTGCCTTGCGGACAGGCTTTTGAGTCAAAGCCTTTCGTCGAGAACCCTAATCGTTCTCCTGCGTAGGTCTGGGCGCCTTGGAAGCATCTCCTCCCACGCATAACTATGACTGCTACTTCAAACGTCAATCATATCCTGCATCGGCCGTCGCAGAGCTTAGCAAAGGCCGTCTTATCTGCTGCATACAGCAGGGCGGATAAGCGAAATCATGCTAGTGCTAGCGTCTTCCTTCTCAAACAGTTTCTGCTCCCCTCCCAGTTCGCATTACTAGCCTACATTCTATAACTGACAGCAACTGCAATGTCACTGGAGTCACAGCATCTATAACCATCTTCCCGCAACAACCACGACGCCTATCGGCAACAGTCCTTCATGAGACCACGCTATCCCATTTCCCTGGCGGCGTTCAACGTTCGAGCTCTACGACAACTAGGTCAACAGGTTACACTCGCACTCGCGTTAGACACATTGAGTATTGACGTGTGTCCGAAACTACGAACAAAGACCCTCACGGGGTTATTGACTTACCTGCACCCGGTTTATCGTCTCATCCGGAGACGCTGATGCGGCAACCACTGGTCAAGCTGGAGTGGGCATTGTTCTCAGCTCCATAGCTGAGTAATCGTTGATTGACTGCATTCCCGTGAACAGCCGCTTGTGTGCAGTCCGTTTGACGACATCAACTTAGGTCGATTCACGGAGGTATCCCTAGACGCTGTTTGTGGTTTCTGCTTATATCCGCACCAATTGCAGCTCTGCTGCGAAGGACGCTTTGTACGGCAAGTTGAACACATTACTACCCAGTGTTACCAGTTCAAATAACACAGTTCTTTCAAGGGATATGAATGCGCAATTAGGTCGTCTGAGCTCTTTAGAAGCTCAGCTAGGTGGCAAGTATTGACATCTTTTGCAACTGTGTGCCGAGCACCGGTTATTTCTTATTAACACCGCTTTTAAACACAGTGGGCGACAAAGTGCCACTTGGCGTCCTCCTGCAGCTGATCAGCGATGCGCCTAAATAGATCACGTTGCCATATGTTGCAGGTGGCGTGGTCCCACCCTGGATTGTCGATCTTACTGGGGAACTTGCGTTGACTTTGATCATGCCTTGGTACGCTGTCGTTTTGCCATAACCCTTACCTGGAGGCACAGCAAGCGTCGCCCTCCATTGGCAACTAAGAAGTTATCTCAGCCCTCGGTCAGACAAGGCTATCATGATGCACTGCGTAGCGAACTACCGTTCACTTATCCTAATGACACTGAGCTTCAATGGAATAGGATCTCGGTCTCGAAACAACATGCAGGACCCTCCGTTTGCGGCACTATCAATCGTCACCGCACCAGTCACTGGATATCCGAGAGGTCGGCGAACCTGATGAAATCCAAAAAGAAACTCCGATTGACTCTGAGCACGATGTGACCAGGCAGACTATTAGGCGCGAAGTGATGCGGAGGCTGTGTGCTGACATCAAAGCCTGTTGGACCAGTCGGGCTCAAGAAGTGGAGGAAGCAGGAGCAGTAGGCAATTCCAGCTGGTCCGCACCACTGGTCCCAGGAAACCAGGCGTCAGTAAGACAATCAGAGACAACGCCGGTGTCCTGGTTCACAATAACGAGCATGGTATGACTCGTTGGGCGGAGCACTTTCGATAGCAGTTGTCGTCACTCTGCTTCTGGAACCAGTTAGTTTAGAGACTCCGCTGAGGTCCGAAATGCGATCGCACACCTTTATCGTTTTCGAGCTGCTGGTTCGGATTCGCTCGCACCCGCACTATTTAAGGATGAAGGTGAGGTCCTCTGCAAAGCACTGACCTCCCTGTTCGAACAGGTCTGGAAAGCAGAGGCCATCCGAGCTAATTGGGACGAACCAATTATAGTGGCAATATACAAGAACGGCAGCCGCACCGACTGTGCTAACTACATGGGATTAGCCGGTTGTGACAAAATTACTGGCCTCAGTTCTCGTTCGTCACCTCACAGCGGAACGGGAAACCCGGATTAGAGAAGACCAAGCGTAGATGACCCGTGGATGACGAACTGACGATACAATAAACAGGATTACACACTGCCTATCACCGCACTGAAGATGTCACCTCGCATGGTGGTGAAACGTATGCGATCACTTTACCAAGCTCGGAAAAACGATCAACAGATGATGGTAGAGGTGGCGATATTCGAAGATTTGACGGAACATGAATATTTGATCCACGCACCCACGGCAAGGACAGAAACCAGCTTGTTCTTCCCCGTACTGCGATTCACGAATCGGAAAAAATTTACGGAGTATATATATATATATATATATATACGTATATATTCACAGTCTGTTAACAGACATTGTGCCATCAGAACCATGGCAGAATAAAAAATGAAGATGTGAACGTGAACTGCGATCAAAAAATATGGGAAACGATTTTTTTAATTTTACACACGCCATTTTGTACCTTTTGTTTTGTGAGTTTTTGTGTGCATCAAAGGGATGGTAAAATGGCAGAGCAACATTAACGCCACTGATGTCTGTTGCGGGCCATGACGTCTAATGTTTCCAACCACTGAGATTCAGCATCTCGTGGTCCCCAATCCGGAAGACAGACTGGACCGACTGCCGCCAAACTTGAGGTTGCCTTCTTCATGCTCCTTCGCCACGTCATTGGCTGTCCATCGCGGCACTTTTTCCAATCGCTCCCTGGGAGTGCAAATAGAGCTCGACGTGGAAGGCGATGGGCTGGCATGCGCAGAACATGCCCGAGCCAACACATTCGATGTCCGAGAATAACATCATGAAGACTGGCACTATTCGCCCCAAGCACGCGGTCCCGCACCTCTGCGTTGCTTACGTGGTGTTGCCACCAGACCCTAGCAATCCTTCGTAGACAGCGATTGTGGAAGACTGACAGCCGCTTCATATCTTCCGAGCGAATGGACCAAGTCTCACAGCCGTACAAGAGTAATGCACGGACGGAAGCATTGTACACCCTGCCCTTGAGCTTGAGACTGATATCACGACGACGCCATAGGTGTCTCAGTTTGATGAATGCAAGGTGCGCCTTTGCAATCCGTTGTGAGACTTCATCTCCAACACCGCCACGAGCCGTGATGCAACTCCCTAGATAAGTAAAGCAAGGGACTTGCTCCAGAACATGTCCAGCAATGGTGAGCGCGGGTTCAGGCACCTGCCAGTCCTGGAGCAGCGTTTTACATTTTCTCGGAGTGAAGCATAAGCCGTATTTAGACGCCTCCATCGCCAAGCGGTCCAAAGCGCTCTGGACGGATTGTGGGTCGTCTCTCAGCAAGGCGATGTCATCGGCGTAGTCCAAGTCCGTGACTCTGTCTCCAGGGAGGAGCTCAACACCACAGTCCTGGACACCTTACAGTGCTCTTCGGGGAACATCTTCGATGGCGAAATTGAAGAGGAAAGGTGAAATAGGGCAACCTTGGTGAACTCCGCTGGTCACAGCAAATGAAGAAGAGTGCGTGCCGTAAGCCCTGGCTTTGCCCTACGTGTGACTGTAAAGTTCTTTCGGGATAGTTACAAACTTGTCGGGCACGCCTTTCTTCAGTAAACAGTTTCACAACGCAGATCTATCTACTGAATCAAATGCCGCTCGGATGTCCAAAATCACTACGATTGTTGGCCGTCGGTGGATGTGACGAAGTTCGAGAACTTGCCGAAGTGTGAAGATTTGGTCGATGCAACCGCGGCCTGGACGAAATCCGGCTTGTTCTCCTCTGGGGAAAACTCCTCTCTAGTCGTTGAAAGCCTGCGAAGTAGGACCGACACGAAGATTTTGGATGCGATGGAGATTAACGAGATTCCACGGTAGTTGCAGCAACCGGTGCGGGAGCACTTCTTATGAATCGGAACAAACCGATTCTCCCTATAAGTTCGGAACCTTCTCCTCAGTCCAAACTTTCGTGAACAGCGATAGGATTTCACTGACAAGTACATTCCCACCATCTTTGAATAGAGCCGGTGGTAGGTTGTCGGGACCTGGTGCCTTGTGGTGTTTCAAAGATTGGATTGCACTTCGAATCTCTGCTTCATTTGGGGGGGGGGGGCTGTGGAGACAGGCCAAGGATCATACATTGGGGCTGGAGGTGTCACATGGGGCTGTGTTGGGTGGTTGAATTGAAGAGCGAAATGCTCTGCCCAGCAACCCAATCGCCTGTTAAGGTTGGTGATCTTCGTGCCGTCTGATTCGCAAATCGTCTGGCTGATAACG